ATCTTCCTGTAAAATGGTAAGAGACGTTTTTTACTTTTCCTTGCATCTTAATATAAATTACTTTCAGTGCTATCATTAGCTTTATTTAAATTAGCTAGGTTTTGCTTAGTAGGTAAGGAGTAACCATTAGTATACAAAATGAATAAATTGCTTTACCCTGAATTAAATAATCTTTCATATTAACTCTACTCTTCAAGTTTATTGATGCTTTTATGCTGTGTGCTCCCCTATATGAAGCTCCATTTATGCTTTCTCCCAGTCCCCTCTGCCCCAGGTGGATATCCACGTACTGATATGGTATCAGTCTCATCCCAGTTAATTATCTCTCTTTGTTTCCTACTCTTGAGGTCCCTTTGTGCAAATATATATCTGGCTCCTGTATTGTGTCAGTATTTACCATCAACTCCACCTTCTCTGTGGTCTCCACATCTAATCAGTCCCCAAACCTGATGTTTATGTCACACAGATCTCACTCATGCCCCTTTCCTCTCGTATCACGTTCCTATGTCCCTGATCCAGGCCCTCATCACTGTTCTCTCAGACTAAAACTACATTAGCCCAATTAACTGGTTTCTCTGCTAAAATAATCTTGCAAAAATAAAAATCTATTGATGTCACTTCCCTCCCTGGTGAGGATACAGTCCAAATCTCTTATGTGGTGTTCCAAGTGCTGCCACCTCTCCCCAGCCCCTTCCTCACGTGGCTTCCACAGAGCTGCTCTTCCCTGCACTCAGCATAGGAGCTCCAGGTCCCAGAGCCTCACATGGTGTTCGTGCTGCCTAGGACGCCCTGCCCTCCTTTATGTTCCCGGTGAACACCCTCTTCTCTTTTTTACAGCCTATCAACATCGCCAGCTTCGTCCCGAGTCTCACTCCACATGAGTAAATCACTCCCCCCTCTCCATTGCCTGCATTTCTCATCATATGTCTACTATGGCACTTAATCGCTGTATTCTGATTTTGTGTCTACACACCTGTTTTCTCATGAGGCTGTGAATTCCTTGAGACCAGTGCATTCTTAGTCCATCTTTGTCATTCCAGAGTCTAGCACAGAACCTGACGCAAGTATGTGCTTAATAAACATTTGTCTAATTCATCCAATTCTCTTCTAAATGTTCTCTGTATTAGATGATTAGTTCCTAGCAGAGGATTCGAACACTGGATCTTGAGTATCTCTATGGCCTGTTCTTGTCTGATTAGCTCAATTAAGAGTACAGTGTTAGTGAGGGCGAGGTTTTAAGTTTCAGTCTTCTGTGGGGGAGGTAACTTTGTACCTCCACTGTTAGTAACCTCAACCAGTTGCCTGGTAACTAAGGAAAATTTTAGTTCTAAGGGAAATGAAGAGAGAGGATGATTAAGCTCAGAGTAAATCCATATCGACTGTTAGACAGACTTAATTAACTATATTCCTTATTGATGTTAAAAGCACCATTTCACACTTCAGTGTGAAATGAGCACCTTGTTTTGTCCACAGCACCTGTCCGTGTGCACTGATGTGCTTGACTTGAAAGGCTCTCTGCTGTGTTGGAGGGACCCGAAGTGCCACCTGGTCATCAGAGTTTTACAATAAAAGTAGTAGTCATCCATTCACAGATCTTTAGGATTGCCAGCTTTGGGACTGTCTACTCACTTGCCTCTCTGCTTTTGTCTTCCAGGTGAGACCATGCGGATCGCCTCCTCTGAGTTTGCTGACGATCCGTGCTCATCTGTGAAGCGAGGCACCATGGTGCGGGCAGCACGGGCTTTGCTTTCGGCTGTAACACGCTTACTCATCCTGGCGGACATGGCGGATGTCATGAGACTTTTATCTCATCTGAAAATTGTACGTATGTACAACTTATCAACACTTGCTTTGTGTGGGTGGCAACATTGATCATGTGCATTTCAGCTCTGAACTCTTCTAGAGTTGTTTCACTGCTTACCAGATCACTTGGTTACTTGCCCATGTGGTACACCCCCAATTTTTCTAATATCAAAATTATATTCAATAATCTATTCAGAAAGTTATGTAAGAATTGCTTTTCTTTACTTAAATCACAGAGTTTCCGTTCCCGTTACTTCCTGGAGTACATAGCAGTGCATTCTTTTAGGATACTGAGCCCGGACTT